CGCTCAACATCAGATGTAGGACTTGGAAATAATGTAGGTAATATCAGAGGTTGGTTGACATGAAACTCGGATACAACCTTTGGCAGAAAAGAAACATCAGTATACAGCACAACCTTGTCCTTGAATAATTGTAGGTATGGTGTATCAGACCGAAGTGCTGCCAACTCACTTGCTCTGCGTGCTGAGATGATAGCAACTAGGAATAAAGTCTTAAATGACAGAAGACGGATGTCACAGGATGCCATGGGCTCCAAAGGTTGACGGGTAAACAAGTGTAGAACCACCTGAAGAGACCACTGCAGAACAGGATGCTTGATAAGTGGTCTCATGTTGGAAAGATCTTTAAGGAAGGCCTTAAGAATTGGGTGAGAGAAAGGTCTTGATGATTCAGGGTCATGAGGCTGAAAAGAGACAATAGCCGAAATGTAGACTTTCAAAGCAGACAGGGACAAGCCAAAGTCAAATAAGCATTGTAGATATTGAAGAAGGGTGGTTGAGGATCCAGAAGAAGTTGGCAAACGGTGAATCAGGAAATTTCTCCATTTGTATTTATAGAGAAGGGTAGCGAATGGTTTCCTAGCCTTCTCGATGACCTCTTGCATTGATGGGAAATCCTCCAAGCTGTCAGGTGAAGTGACTCCAGATCTGGATGGAGGATGTTCCCAGCATCCTGAGTGAGCAGGTGTGGGAGAAGCGGCAGCTTGATCATGTCTATCACCATCAACATTAGGGTGGAAAACCATGATTGACGAGGCCAGTATGGAACAATGAAGATTGCCTCTGCCTTCATCTGGAGTGCTCTGATCCTTTTGAATGATTGGAATCGGTGGAAACAGGTAAAGGAGGCCTGTCTTCCACTGGATCATGAAAGCATCTCCTAGTGATTCCTTGCCTCCTCTGGCATGAGAGGCATACTTGATGCATTTCCTGTTGGTAAGGGTAGCAAACATGTCCACTGTTGGTTTCCCCCATCTGTGGCATAGACTGAGAAAGACCTCGTTGTCCAGCTCCCACTCGTGAGTCTAGCCATGAAGACGACTCAGTTTGTCTGCCAACTCATTGTCTGTTGTGGCAACATGGATGGCTACAGGGAAGATCTGATGTTGACAACACCATTCCCATAGATGAACTGCCAGAAAAAGTAGAGACATGAATCGAGTCCCTCCTTGCTTGTTTATGTAATACAAGGTCGTGGTGTTGTCTGTGATGAGTTGCACACCACGACCCTGTATCAGAGGAAGGAAAGCTCTGAAGGCCTTTATCACAGCTAGCAGTTCTAGATGACTGATGTGGAAGGTGGATTCCTGAGCCGACCATAGAGCATGGATCTGATGTTCCCTACAATGGGCCCCACAGCCTGTGGGGCTCGCATCCGTCGTGACCTGACATGTAAGTTGCAGGGGTCGAAAGGGTCTGCCGAGTGACAGATGTGGCAGAAATGCCCACTGTCGTGCTAGCTCTGGTGTGACCAGCAAGTGTTTCTGCTGATTGTCTTGAAGGGGATCGAAGAAGGCAAGAAGCCATGACTGAAGCGAACATGTCTTTAGACAAGCATGAGATACTGCACAGGTTGTTGAATCCATCACTCTTAGAAGACCCCATATTTTGATGTAAGACCCACAATTAAATTTTTGTCTTGGAATATTGCGGGCTGGCAGGCGAAGGCACCCATCTCCATGTCAAGGATCCTGGCAATTTTGATATTATACTACTACAAGGAACGTGGACTTTAAATATTTATTTATTTATTTATTGGACTTATATACCGCCCCATAGCGCTACAAGCGCTCTCCGGGCGGTTTACAATTTTTAATTATACAGGCTACACATTGCCCCCCCCAGCAAGCTGGGTACTCATTTTACCGACCTCGGAAGGATGGAAGGCTGAGTCAACCTTGAGCCGGCTACCTGGGATTCGAACCCCAGGTCGTGTGCACAGTTTTAGCTGCAGTACAGTATTTTAACCACTTTTTATGGTTACATGGCATATTCCTTTAATGCTTCTCCCGGTGATAGAGGAGGGCAACCTAAGGGTGGTATAGTCACTCTCGTATCAACAAAGCTACAGACAACAGTAGTGGCACGGGATTTTTCCAACAGGATAGCTTCTGCCTTGATGTTCAAAATTCCCACGTGTTTGTTACTGTTTATCAATGTTTATATTCTTCCACAACAATCTCATATGATGATATATGACTTGTGGGTTAACTTAGAGGACTATATTGATTATTTAATATTATTGTATCCTGATGCTTCTATAATAGTCACTGGGGATTGCAATGCCATGATAGGTACTAATGATGAGACACTTTCTGCATGGTTCAATATGGCCTTCCCAGAACCTACTCTACATCTCCACCTCTATCACAGGCAATTTAAAGATTGTGGCTGAAACTATGCTGGCCCACACTTAATGCATATAATAATTTTGGTTTAGCCCTTTTAAACCGATGTACAATTGGAGACAGACCAGGTGAATTTGCCTTTACCTCTTTAGCAAATGCTTCTACAATAGATTGTTTTGATCTCAAAGGACTTGATGGATCAAATAATGACTTTAAGGTAGTATACTGAGAGAACAGAATCTGGCTAGAATTCCAGCAGATTAATTCACGCTTAAGAAGAAGTATAAAGCTCTGGTTAAAAGTAAAAAGCTCCAAGCACAGAGACCTGGCAATGTTTGATAACTGCATCCAATCTGAGGGATTCAGCCTCCTTCTGGAATATAGTGACAAAGGGAACACTAACTCACACCCCCAAACAAGATTTCTATATATTGCCTAGCATATGGGAAGAATAGTTTCAAAGAATTTACTTTAAGTTATCATAATGATTTTGATTATTTACCTGAATGGCCCCCAGTTGTTCCTAGGCAAATCTTAATGTTAATTGAGCAACTCAAACTGGGTGAGGCTCCTGGAACTGACTATATTCCACCTAACTTAATAAAGTCCAACTGAGTGTTGGGCTCCAGTATTACCCTCTTTATTCACTTGGATTGATAAAACAGCATGTTTTCCCAAGGACTGGGGCCTAGACATCATTGTCCCAATTTACAAAAGAGGAAATAGAGGGGATCCAGCTATCAACCAGTAAGTCTATTAAACACCATTAGCAAACTATACGCAAGGCATTTATTAGGTAAATTACAAGATAGGCTGCTTGAGGAGAATATACTTGCAGAGGAACAAGACAGATTTAGGTTGGGAAGATCCACCACAGATCAGGGTCTTATTTTACACTATCTGGCATGCAAGTACTCCTCCCCTAAATGCGGTGCCCTATATGCAGCCTTTATAGACTTTAATCTGCATTTAACCTCATACCAAGAAAAAGCCTGTGTTCTTAATTCGAGACCACAAGTATTGATAAATGGCTTCTCTTGTTGATGCAGCACCTTCATGAAAATACACATTTGCAGGTTCTATGCAACTCAGCTGGGATCTTATTCAACCAAGTCCCTGTGCTTAATGGAATGAGACAAGGATACATTGGAAACTTAAGTAACCCCAACTTTCATCAACCTAAGCTTCCCTCTCACCCAGTGTGAATCCAACTTTATGCTGATGATGCCGTTTTATAGTCAACAACATGTGTAGGCTTTAGAAGACTTTTGAGAACCTTCTCCTACTGTAATAAAGAACAATTAATAATTAACTATGCCAAAACTAATAATTAACTATGCCAAAACCAAGATTATGGTTGTTAGAAGGAGAATAAAGCATAAATGGTCTCTAAATGGACACCCTATAGAGCAAGTATGATGCTACAAATATCTTGGCGTAGTCTTTCATTCTTCAGGATCCTGGCTTACACATATAAACCATGCAGCAATAAGTGCCCAGAAAAATACTATGGCACTAACCAGATTTTTCCTTACTGATGGGGGTAAATATGTTCCATCACTGATATAAGTTTTTAAGGCCAGGATTATTTCACAAATGCTTTAAGCCCCTCAACTGTTCGCCTATGCTAATTTATGACCTCTGGAGATTGTTCACACCAAATTTGTGAGAGCCATCCTGGGAGTTCCACCTTGCACTTCCAATGAGGCTCTTCACTTAGAGGTCAGGTTGTTGTTGTTGTTGTTTAGGCATTTAGCCATGTCCAACTCTTCGTGACCCCATGGACCATGATCTAAACCTAGGATGGCACGCCTTACTATGGCATCAAAAAGCAAAGGACAATAAACAATTTAAAAATAATCTGATAAGGAAAGCTTTGAACTGCATATGGACTAAGATCTGGGAAGAAAATTACCAAAAGGTTCCTGAATGGGTCTCACCAACGGAAACATTCACACAACCGATATTAATGGAAAATGTGGTCAAGTAGACCAGATAGGCGGGGTATGTATGTATGTATGTATGTATGTATGTATGTATGTATGTATGTATGTATGTATGTATGTATGTATGTATGTATGTATGTATGTATGTATGTATGTATGAATAAATAAATAAATAAATAAATAAATACAAGAAGAAGAAACTCTTGAGATATAGAGATTTGCAGCTCTACATCTTCTTTCCAACAGCAGTGGATGCCGTTGCACCCCTTGAGCACTGTCTGGGGGCTGTAATGCAGTGGATGCAGGAGAATGGACTGAGGCTGAACGTGGAGAAGATGCCGATTTTGAGGGTGGTCACCACTCCTATTAGTGGTTTGGGAAACTCCCTCTCTTTGGGGGGGCAACTCTCATCATAAAGAGTGTGGTCTGGCACTTGGGGTCCATTTTTACCCAGTGCTTACCATGGAGTTCCAGGTAGCATCCGTGGTCTGCACCACCCATTTACATCTTTGGTGGATTGCTGCGCTCCTATCTTGATCTTGGGGAGCTCACCACTCCGATTGCAATAGCGATCGCAAAAAAACTCACCGTAAAGCGATATCGACATCATGCTGGGTAAGCGCCAAGCAGGGTGCCACTGTACACTCATTGTTACACTGTCAGGGACAAGTGCCAATGAAATGTGACAGAATTGTGACAAGACTCTTACCTTTTGTTCCAGGGGGCTGCAAATTGTCACCAGTCAGTGAACACCAACCAACAGGAAATATGTCACGAGAGTCATAGCGACACCAGTAATCAAAGGCTCCCCTCCAACCGTCAAAAGTGATTAGGACTTCAGAGCCACGCACTTCACCAATTGTTGCTGGGCAGATGAAATGTGGGTTTTTCCTGTCTACAGCCTCCAGTTTCATCCCCATCTTAAAGAAGTTCTGAGATGGAGATGGTGGCTCCTGGTGGAAGGAACCAGAAAAAGTAATATTATCAAGTCCCACTTATGTTATTTTGCAGCCCTCTTCTGCTGTAACTGATTTATCAGGCTCATTAGCCTCAGTTACTCAGTAAGCGTCCTGTAAAGAATTAGAATATGGAAACAGACAAACTGGTCTAGAGTTCAGAACCCTGTCAAAGCTTCAAAGTACAGGATTAGATACAGGACTGCCCTGTTTCCCTGAAAATGAGGCCTAACGTGAAAATAAGCCCTAGTATGATTTTTCAGGATGCTTGTCATATAATTGTTGTTGTTGTTTAGTCATTTAGTCATGTCCGATTCTTCGTGACCCCATGAACCAGAGCACGCCAGGCCCTCCTGTCTTTCAATGCCTCCCGGAGTTGGGTGAAATTCATGTTGGTAGCTTCAATGACACTGTCCAACCATCTCATCCTCTGTCGTCCCCGTCTCCTATTTCCTTCACACTTTCCTAACATCAGGGTCTTTTCCAGGGAGTCTTCTCTTCTCATGAGATGGCCAAAGTATTGGAGCCTCAGATTCAGGATCTGTCCTTCCAGTGAGCACTCAGGCTTGATTTCCTTTAGAATATATAGGTTTGTTCTCCTTGCAGTCCAGGGGACTCTCAAGAGCCTCCTCCAGCACCACAATTCAAAATCATCAATTCTTTGGCGGTCAGTTTCTTTATCGTCCAGCTCTCACTTCCATACATCGCTACTGGAAAAACCATAGCTTTGACTACTCGGACTTCTGTTGGCAAGGTGATGTCTCTGCTTTTCAAGATGCTGTCAAGGTTTGTCATCACTTTCCTCCCAAGAAGCAGGTGTCTTTTAATTTTGTGGCTGCTGTCACCATCTGCAGTGATCATCGAGCCCAAGAAAGTAAAATCTGTCACTGCCTCCATATCTTCCCCTTCTATTTGCCAGGAGGTGATGGGATCAGTGGCCATGATGTTAGTTTTTTTTTATGTTGAGCTTCAGACTGGTTTTTACACTCTCCTTTTTCACCCTCATTAAGAGGTTCTTTAATTCCTCCTCACTTTCTGCCATCAGAGTGGTATCATCTGCATATCTGAGCTTGTTGATATTTCTTCTGGAAATCTTGATTCTGGCTTGGGATTTGTCCAGTCTGGCCTTTCGCATAATGTATTCTGCATATGAGTTAAATAAGAGGGGGACAATATGCAGCCTTGTCGTACTCCTTTCCCAATTTTGAACCAATCAGTGTTTCCATATCCAGTTCTAACTGTTGTTTCATGTACCATGTATAGGTTTCTCAGGAGGGGGTCAGGCACTCCCATTTCTTTAAGGACTTAACATAATTTGCTGTGGTCCACACAGTCAAAGGCTTTTGCATAGTCAATGAAGCAGAAGTAGATGTTTTTCTGGAACTCTCTGGCTTTCTCCATAATCAAGCATATGTTAGCAATTTGGTCTCTAATTCCTCTGCCCTTTTGGAATCCAGCTTGTACTTCTGGGAGTTCTCAATCCACATACTGCTGAAGCCTGCCTTGGAGGATTTTGAGCATAACCTTGCTAGTGTGTGAAATGAGTTGGAGCATTCTTTGGCACTGCCCTTCTTTGGGATTGGGATGTAGACTGATCTTTTCCAGTCCTCTGGCCACTGCTGAGTTTTCCAGACATGCTGGCATATTGAATGTAGCACCTTAACAGTGTCGTCTTTTAAGATTTTAAATAGTTCAACAGGAATGCCATCACCTCCACTGGTCTTGTCGTTAGCCATGCTTTCTAAGGCCCACTTGACTTCACTCTCCAGGACGTCTGGCTGTAATATAAGTCCTACCCCAAAAATAAGCCGTAGTTAAGTGAAAGCCCGCCGTCCACCATTGTGTAGCAACCAGAAGAAGATGACGTGACTGTATTTGAATAAACGTAGATTGTACATGGAAAAAATAAAGCATACCCTGAAAATAAGCCCTAATACATTTTTGGAGCAAAAAATTAATATAAGAACCTGTTTTATTTTCAGGGAAACAGCATTTTCTTTAAAATTTATTAACACTATATTCAGACAACATATAGTTTAATTTTCTGCTTTCAGCACATATGAGTAATTAATTGTACACAAAAGTTTAACCCAGGAGGTTACTAACCCCAATTTATTCAATTGAGGTTTTTACATCTAGATCAGATTAGGATGTGTGAAGTTCATGAAACAGTAACTGGAGACCCTTATAGAAAATAGGGAAGGTATATATGACAGATACACCAAGATTAAAAAACAAGTAGAAACCAGTTACATGTCCATATAGGAAATTTGACAGCTCTAGTTTCTGTGCAACAGCCTGTCCTTCAGGAATTCTTGTCATGGTGAGCTGTCAAGCTGATTCCTGTACTATCATTCCCATTCTCACTTTCATATATATCTTTTATTGGTAGTTGTGGCGGAATGCCCACGTCACTCCTGTCCATCATATGGAGCTCATGTGCAGGAGCCTATGATAGGACAGGAGGGGCGGTGTTAGAATGACAGTTAGACAGCTAGAAAGAAAGGGTTAGGAGACTGAATTGGGAGTGAGGATATGGAATTGAGGGGGGAGGGGGGAGAGAGGGGGGTATGTTATCCTTTTGCACAGCCAGCCCCCCCTCAGCCCCCCACCACAGTGCTCTGTGACATACCCCTCGCTCTTCCCCCCTCCCCATTTGGGTCACAGGTACGCTGAGGGTTCCATATTTTAAATGTGGTAAGGGCTGGAAATGAAATGAACCTCACCCTTTCTCTTGCTGTGGTTCTCGCAGAAAAGAGGGGCAAAGATGGGGCACTCTGTGGACATAAAGGGGTGATAGCCTCCTCCTCCTCCACTGCCACCATTTTCCCCCACCTTCAGCAAATGAATGAAGCCCTCCCTCCTTCGCTTGCTTTGCTGGGTCATTTGGGCCACAAAGGACCCCAATTGGCTTTCGGGAGGGATCTCTCCCCCCACTTACACACACCCTCCTTCCGCAACTGCTAATGGAGCCTTGCCTTGCAGCACCCTAAGCCTTGGCCCTACCTAGCATTTTGTTCTCATTAGCTCATGCTTCTCAGCTGGTTGCTGCCTCTCAGCTGTTCGACCCAGCAAAGCAAGTGGAGGGAGGGCTGCATAGGCAACAGAACCACTCATTCATTCATCTGTTTTTACCTTCCCCCTTCCCACACACACAGACACACACATGCGTCTATGCAATGCCTAAACCACGAGAGCCAAAGGCTTGGCATTTCCTGCCGCAAGTGAGGACATGGCTGCTGCAGTGGAACGGGGGCACCATCCCTTAGCCCAGCACAGCACCCCTCGCTTCACTGCTGCCCAACCCCCTCCCTTGCCGTCTCCCCCTCTGGCTTTCTCAGCATGGCTGAGGAGGGAAGCGAGACACCCTGCCACTGAGGGCCATGCCTGAGGAGCCACCCGACCCATTCCCTGCGCGGCAGCTCAAGAGCAGAGGACGAGGTGAGAAGACTCCTGCCGAGAAAGCAGAACACAACACCGCCAGCCCCCAAGGGAGACCGGGGAGAGGTTGAGGAAGGTGGGAGGGGAGAGTGGAGGGGGGGAGCGAGAGAAGAAAAGTCAGGGAGGGAGGTGCCGCCACCGCGAGCACCATCTGCACCAGCGAGGCGCGAAGAAAGGCAGAGAGAGACACAGCAGATTGGATTACTTCTCGGCAGGCTCCGGAGGAGCGCATTCCACAATGCCGCGCCTGCCCGAGCCCAAGCCAGACCCCGCTCAAAGGTAGCATGCCTGAAACCTACATTTTATTATTAATAAAATGCTGCCCCTCCGCCCACCTCTCAGCTGGTTGCTGCCTCTCAGCTATTCAGTGCTCTGCTCACACACACCCCTTAGGAGTGTGCGCCAGGATCCAACAGAACAGCCGGACTGGTAAGTGCCTTTTTTCACCCATAGGAACACATTAATTATATTTCAATGCATTCCTATGGGAAACTGCACCTCGCAAGACAAAAATTTCGCAAGATGACATGACTCTCGGAATGAATTATTTTCATCTTGCAAGGCATCACTGTATTCTCAATTGGGGGCAAATCTAGTCAGATACTTGGAAAAATGGCCGCCCAGAGACCTTTGGGTAGAGTGGGCGGCATATAAATTAAATAAATAAATAAATAAATAAATAAAAATGGCTAGAGCAGGTAAAAGTCGAGTCTTTAGAAGACATGAAAAATATTATAGGGTTAGAACAATTTTTGGGCGGCATATAAATTAAATAAATAAATAAATAAATAAAAATGGCTAGAGCAGGTAAAAGTCGAGTCTTTAGAAGACATGAAAAATATTATAGGGTTAGAACAATTTTATTTGGTTCTGACAGAATTGGGGTACTTAGTCAGAGATAAAAAGCCCAAAAATGTACAGGAGGCAAGTGAAACTGCTGACTATATTACAGATATAAAGAACCCCAAATTCTCTGAGGTGAAATTTGGCGGGAAAGGCTGGGATGACAGAAGGAAAGAACCCAGAGATTACCTCAAGAAAAATCAGACTCCTGGAAGCCATTTTAGAAGCAAGCCCCCAAAACTAAATCAACCGATATAAGAGCTATGAAGGGAAGGGAGACAAGTCCCCATATTTTGAACCTGCTATGGGTCCCAAGAACCTGCTATGGGTGCAGGGAAAAAAGTCATTTAATTGCCCAGTGCCAGACCTCAAGAAATAGAGAGATTGGTCAGCAAAAAGGAGGGAGAAGTCAGCCCAAGAAAGTATACCGTGTACAACAAAAGAGAGCCACCGAGGCAGTGCAAATGGGCACCATGACCCCAGTAACTCCGAGAGCTTAACGTCAGGAACAACAACATCTTCCTTTAGGAAATGTTCTACAATGTTATTTTATTGAGAGTAACCAGGAGCTTCTTTGCTGTTCTGGTGAAGTTATTTATGCAAATGATACTAAATATCTGACTTTAAGAGATTCATGCTCACAGGTGACATTGTGTCATCCTAATATAATCCCTCAAGAAAATATATTAAGAAATGAAAGCATCACAATTAAA